AGTGAAATCATGGAATGCTGACATCCTTAATAATAGCAATTAGTAATCAGTTGTTTCTTAAGTAGTTTGATTACGCCAGTTACCAAATTGTACGGCTGATGCGTTTGGGGGGCAAGCTGGGCCTCTCCACCCCTCCCCCACCCTCCTTTCTGTGTCCCTGTGATCTTGCTGGTTAGTGAGCCCATAGGCTTTGCAAAGAGGAAAGGTCGTTGCTAATATTAAACCGAGAGACTTGGCTTTAGCAGAAAGCAGAATCAGATATTTCTTTGCAGAAAGACTAATGCCACTTGTATCGGTGGAAATGCCCTCTGTGTCCACCCAGCTGAATGTGCCCAAAAGAGGCTGGCCCATCCACGCAGGCACCACACTCAGAGTTTGCGCCCTTCTCAGGGCCAAGACCCTGGACCAGGCTCCGGATACCAAGTGATAGCAAAGGTCTTGAACTTGAGTGGTCGTTTGTTTCAGTAACTGATGGAGACTGACGGCGTTGTGCTCTTGTGGAGGGAGGAGGTGGGTCTGTGGGCCGGGTGCGGGCAGGGGCATCTTTCTAGCAGAAGCCACCCTCCATGGTGGGTCTGGAAGGAGGGAGTGGCCTGGGTGAGCCGAGGAGGCAGAGGAGGGACTCATAAGCCCCCAGATTTGGGTGTCATCTTGGCGGGGAGGTCCTTGTTGGGATGGGGTGGGTGGGATGGGATAGATGTGGGAGCAGACTGCGGATGAGCTGGGGCTCAGCCCTGTTCTCCTCACACACATATACACACACACACAGACTGCTGTGCCCCCCAGCATGGTCTCCCCTGTTTCTCACAGTGGGGCAGTCTGAGTCTGACCGGGGTGCTGAGTGCTGGTTAGAGACCTCCATGTCCTTCCCAGCGTCTCACAGGGCATCCCAAGTGCATCCTGGCAGGCGAGCGGGTGGCTTCCCAGGGCATGGGTGAGTTGCATCTTTAGGGGAGTCTGATTGATGACCCCTCTCCTGCCTCCCGGCCATGCGGGGACGGCACCTCCTGCGCTCTGCCCCTCATCTGCTGGGGCTGAAGTTTTCAGTTCCTCTGACCTCGAGGGGGCCTGCGTACACCTGAGGGGTTCTCTAAACAGGTCATCCGTACCCCCTCCTCGGACTTCTTTTCCCTGAGCTTTTGTTGTGATGCTGACGTGGATGCGTAGAGATAAATAATTATTGTTTTTTCTGTTCTATTTGGTGAGAGTGACAAGCTCACAGATGAGCACAGGGACTTCACCGTGAGAAGCCAGGCCCTCGTAGATGCACGCTGACAAGCAGAGAGAACTGTCACCTTTCTTTTTCTTATTTATGCAAATTGTCACCTTCTGAACAATGCTCAGGGTTCTGTCAGTCAGGGTTGTCCTTGGGATGGACAGCTCTTCCCTCCCTTTCCCCAAAATGCCTTCTCAGCATGCACTTTGGTGCCAGCACCTCCCGGCCTGGGCGGGCATCCCCAGCTCCGCCCGCTCGCTGCGCCCCGCCCCATCCTCACCCTCCTCCTCCTGACGACTGAAACTCTTTCCCGTACCCATTCCCGAGATGGGCCACATTTCAAGGTATTGCTGTTAGTTCTGCCCACTGTGCAGAGATTCTAAACACTCAAGATCATGGCCTTGGAGAAGCCTGGAGGGTGGAGGGAGCTCAACAATGACCCAAGCCAGCGTTTCCCAAAGAGTGACCGCAGATCACCGGTTCCCCAGGCAGCGAGGCCACAGCCAGTCTGCCTCGTGCCCTTGGGAGGGCCAGCCGGGGCCGCTTCCCAAGTGCACTTCTCCCGTGGGGCTGTGCTCAGGGACCCCTGCTTGGGATGCGGCAGGAATCTCATGCACTAGTTAATAAGGAAAGGCACTGGCCCAGAGAGGGAAAGGGACTTCTCTGAGATCACACAGCTTGCTGGTGGCAGAGCCCAGGCTTCCCTGCGGAGCGTCCCACTCCAAGACCGGAGCTTCTCAAGGACCCGAAAGCCTGCCTGTGGCAGCACGGGCTGGGCTCCGAGCGCCTGGGAGGGAGACACATGAGTTGCTCCTGTTTCTCTTCTCCACTCGCCGTGCTGCCAGGCACACAGCAAAAGCGCAAACATCGTTACCACCATGGGTCCCTCGGATTCCCATCGTGATTGGTGGCACGGCCCTCTGCTCACCAGCACGCCCTGCCCAGCGAGCGCCCGAGCGTTTCTCACCGCTGTCACTTGCCTTCGTGACTGCCCCACGCTCTTGGCTTTGACCATGTCATCTCTCACCCGGGCGACTGCCTTCAGTCACCACCCACCTAGATCGCGTTTCCTAAGCTTTCTTGTTTCCTTCAAATCCTACCCCCATATTTTAGCCAGAGCAGCAGACCCCAAACGCCAGGGTGAGCGTGTTGCTCCTCCACCCTGGGCTCCAGCCCCGCCAGCTTCTTCTGCAGAAGAATCACTGGTAACAAAATGTGCCCTTCGTCTTCAGTGACAATCATCCCGAAATGGAAACAGCCCAGAACAAGCCCAAGTCCTTGCAACTTGTCACCAGCATTGAACTTGCTCTTCTGAACTGGGCCATCCAGTGTGGAGAAGGAGACACGGATGTGGTTTAGAACACAGTGGGTCTGTTGTGGGAGGGAACAGGGCTCTTAATGCAGATTTCACTGGTTTCAAGTGTTTAGGAAAGTGATGGGGACAGTAAAGACAGCGCAGAGCAATTCATAATGTGAAAAGACATGCTATTTTAAACCAAGGGTTCCAAGTCCACACATCCCCAACCTGCTGGGATATGCTGGTAAAGCGAGACGTGGCAAGGTGGCACTTGCTCTAGTCAGAATCCCAGCAGAGCAGACGGCGCAAGTCCAGGGGGTAACGGAGGCAGGCAGGGCTCAGGGACGCCAACTAGGGTGGCTGCCGCCACAGGGGGAGCCGCCATCCCTGTGTCTGAAGGGGTGAGCCGGGAGGTAGGAGCTGCCAGCCAGGAGCCAAGCCTTCAGCCCCATGACGAATCCAAATTACAGCAGTGACCTGGCAGGGATGGGTCCCCAGAGCAAATATCGTGCCCTCCCTGCTCCTTCTGGCACCTTCTGTTAGCTTCACCCAACAGGGGCCAGAGACAACCAGCCAGGTTGATGCAGTTCATAAGGTCACCTCATGAGTGGGCAGCAGGCAGAAGGCAGAGTGGGTCTGGAGGGCAAATGCAAAACTCAGTACTCCTGGCCGAAGCACAGTTTATGATCTCAGAGTTCCCCCCGTGCCCCCAGGGCAGGCTCCTGGATTGGTGTGTGTACCATGCTCTGTCTTGGGGGAGGTCCTGTGCCCGTCCAGGCACAGCTGGGGTCAGAACAAAGGCATGTTGCTCTCTGGGCTTGTGGCTCCTGGGCCCTCACCCTGATTGGGTCCCAGATATTGGGAAAACCAAGGAAAAGAAGAAACAGGAGCAGGTTTCTCTCTAAAGCCTCCTGCAGTTTGCTCACACCCCCAGTGAAAGGCAGCATGGGGCGTGCTCCCACACCATGAGGGAGCGGAGGGATGGTCGCCACCTTGGAAGTTCCAGTCTCTGATCTCTGTCTCCATCACACTGAAGCTCCACTCGGCAGCACAGAGGTCCCCGACATGTTCCCTTCTGGTGCCCTTCCTGCAGGTGTGAGCACACATTTGAGCACGTGTGTGTGCATGTGCATGTGTGAGTGTGCAAGTGTACCCAAGTGTGTGCACGCACACATGTGTGTTGGGAAAGAGTCCGTTTAGTGTGGGGAGAGGAGCCCAGAACATTCCTTAGGAGCCAACACACAACGTGGAGGGCACATCTGGCCAGCAGGGAAACAGCACAACACAATTAGAAGTTAATCTCAGGTTAGAGAAAATATTTTCAGCAAATACAGCAAAGGGATAACATCTATGTTCTGTGCAGGAGACCTATAAGATGACAAAAAAGATGTAAAGAAATGAGGAGATAGTGCCCAAGGACCAGACCAGACAAGAGACACGTGAAGAGGTCTACAAAGAAAACCCAAACCCCACGGACGAGAGTCGGTCCTGAGCAGCAGGGAAAGGACGGATGGCCAGGGTGAGCTTGCTAAATCAGAGACCTCAGAGTGCACATTCATCACCAGTGATAGCCAGGGTGGACAGGGCACATACACTCACTACCAGAGGGAAAAGAAACCCTTTCAGAAAACAATTTGGAAAATTTCCTATCCAAGTCCCAGGAATGCTGCTCCTAGAAATTTATCCTTAAGGATAGAACCCGGAATAAGAAGAAAAGGATACGAATGCTAATAAAGACA